AAGGTGAAGTGGAGCAAAAAAAAAAAAAAAAACAAAAAAAAAATAATTAACCCCTGTATACACATTTACAAAAAAGGGGAAAAAAAAAAAAAAAAAAAAAAAAAAAAAAAAAAGCAGCCGAAGGGAAACAAATTTTATTTTCCAGCTAGCTGATCAATTTGTCGCTCCATTTGGCAGCGCGCCTAGCAACTGTCCATAATGTAGTTGTACAGCACTGAGCAGTTTCTAACGCAGCCCAGTTTGTATTTCTTCAGGTTGTTGTGATCCATTATATTTTGGCAAGAGCTGAGGATGATAGGGTGATGCTTGGGATCGATTTTGTTGCACTCGAAGACGAGGCGATCCAATGTTTTATTCAGGTCCATCAGGACCATTTTGTGTGACATGTTGTGCTGAACAAGCACAATTAGTACACGAGCCATGATATCCAGTCTAGTCACTAAATTGTCAATAGACATGTTCATGGGATTGATCAAAAATATTTCCTTAAGGTAAAGCTCTAAAATGTTTTCATAGTACAAAATTAGCTCGTTTTTTTGTTTCGGCATTTCTTCTTTGAGATCATCTCCATCGTTGTTGTCGTGCTGGGCAGTGTGGTTTTCTTCATCCTTGCCGCTATCCTTGACGCTATCCTTGACGCTATCCTTCACGCTATCCTTCACGCTGTCCAGGGAGCTCTCCACGGAGACGTCTGCGGAGCCATCCGCGCAGCCATCCACGGAGTACAGTTTGCTCGCATTTGACCATGAATTTCCGTAAAAGGAAAATTTGTTATCAAAGTATACGTGCAAATGCAGGGGAATTAAAAACATGGAGAGGAATCTTGTAAGGCTTGTTAATTCATCTTCGTTTATATTTAGCGCACTCATGTTCGGTAAGCAAAAAACTATATACTTGGAAAATTGTTCAATAACATCGCGCATGCTTCGAAGGCTGGCCCTCATGTTTCGCAATTGGACACCACAGCCAGTGTTTTCCCAGTTGGGCAAAAGGTGCAGGTGCGGCAGGTAATTCTGTGTGATGAAGTCAAAGTAATCCCATTTTTCTAAACACAGACTATTTGTGTAGCATGTGAGTGTGTAAATCATGATTTTCAGAAACTTGGTTTTTGAAGAAAACCAACAATCGTCCTTTTTCTTTCTCATGTCTTTATTGAAATCGTATTTGATATATTGAATCATAATATTGAGGACGGTGTTGAAAATGAAGGAGGAGGTAAATTTGCAGGTGGTGGCATGGGATCTAAATGTGTCGAGGGGGCCTGAGTTTCCACTGTCCGTTTGGTCCATTTGGTCCGTTTTGTCCGCTTTGTCGGCTTTGTTGGCTTTGTTTGTCTTGTCCTTTTTGCCCTCTTTGTCCTTTTTGCCCGTTTTGTCCTTTTTGCCCTCTTTGCCCGCTTTGTTCGTCTTGTCCTTTTTGCCCTCTTTGTCCTCTTTGCCCGCTTTGTTCATCTTGTCCTTTTTTCCCGTTTTGTCCGCTTTGCCCGCCTTGTCCGCCTCTCCCTCTGGAGAATCCAGGTACTGGCAATAGTCTGTTAGACCCTTATCCGTGATGCATGTCGGTTTTTGCCAACGAAAGTGAGATTTGTTTGCATCATCGTTTATTTCTCCTAAGTTTCTGAAGCAGGGGGGGATAATTTCCTCCACCTGTGTGAAGAGGTGGTCTCCCATGCGCTTGTACTTTTTGCCAGCTTCCCGATCAAGAGACGCATTGTTCCACTGCTCCTGCATGGTATTCAACAAGACAAGGTACTTGACGTAAAAAAACTCGAGGGTGAAAAGGATATCTTCGTGCATTATGTTGTGTTGGCCAAGGGAAACGACTAAGTCCTTAACATAGTGGTTAATGACAGAAATGCAATTCACCAAAAGGCTTACAGGTATTTTTTTTACTGTTACATTTTCATCGCAAGGCCAATATTTATTTGCACTTTTTTGGTCTCCCTTGAACAATGCTACAGTATGCTTTCTCCTGACGAAGTAGTCATGGCTTATTCGTTTGGACTCCACTATGGCTTCTCCCTGGGCGTGTGAACAATCTTCTACCGGCTCGCGTTTTAACGCTCCCGTTGGCACGTCTTTTTGCACCCCTGTCGGCTCGCATTTTGCCACCCCGTTTTTTGCTTCCTTGCAGCACTCGTGCAGAAGAATCGCGCAGTCCATGAACACTTCGTTATCGCGAAAGATGAGCGCTTCCTTGGGGATGACGGCATTTTTTAATTGTATGAACAAATCGGATATGCGAAAAACAGGAAGCACAAAAAACCGCATCATATGATTCACTAAAATATAAAATGTTACGATAGAGTAAACATCAACAGTTGCATTCGCAAGTGTTTCTTCCACAGGACATATCTCTCCTGAATCGACCCCCTGTTTTACAATCTTTACGTTCCTGATTCGTTTTTTTTTTCCCTGCTCCTCAGAGTCTACTAAGGTCTTGTGCGGGCGCTTTTTTGATTTTACTATTCTTTTAGAGTCGCCGTACTGCAAACACGGAAGAGTGACTCCTTCATTTTGTGCTCTCAATTGTGTGTTGGTCGTAATGGGCTGTCCATAACACTGGTCTTCCTTGCACTTTCTAACACAATTGTAAAAAAATGCAGTGTCGATCTGCTTGAGGCATTTCAATACGGTCTTCAATTCAAAATAGCTACTCACACAATTAGATTTATATCTCATGCTTAATGCTTTCCTGAAATAGGTTTCAGTCTTGTATAAGGTCAACTTTTTAATTGAAAAGGGTGGCTTCTTCAAGGCCATGATGAGAAGGTTTTCATCATTCTTGCTGGTCAGGTTACAAAAGCATTCGAATAGTTTCAAGTAATATGTTCCTCTGTATGCAATATCATCCCCTTCGCGATAAAACAATTTTAATTCCTGATCTAAGTTAATGCCATGCTTGAGACAAACCTTTAGAAACAGTAGGTCTAGACGGTCTCGTTTGAGCATTTTGTAATACCTGCAGCGACACATTTGAAGTATTTCTTCCCTTTTCAGTTTCAACAATGCAGTATCGTTCTTCATCCATGGAAGATATATTTTGCGGAGTGCATTCATTTCATTTTGTACATATGCTCTTCTATTCAAATAAAAGACCTTAAGCATGTTTATTATATTTTCAAAATTTTTTTTTTCCGCTCCATAGAGGTAGAGAAGCAACAGGATCTGGTTCTCATTCAGCTGACTCAAGTTGTTCACAAAGAGGGCAGCGAATCTGTGTAGCACTGCTGGGGTCAGGGAATTCATCACCAAGAGGAAGGTCAAGATGAAAACTCCTTCAGATGCATTACAGTGTCTGGTATCCATTCTCATGATGTTCCGAACGTCAAAGCGACTGTTTAGGTTTGTTTGAATCTCCTCCCCTGCCACCTCGTCCTCTACTGCGTCCTCTACTGCGTCTGCTACTGCGTCTTTTACTGCTACTTCGCCTTCTACTGCTACTTCGCCTTCTACTGCTACTTCGTCTTTTACTGCTACTTCATTTACTGCTACTTCATTTACTGCTCCGTCATTTACTGCTCCGTCATTTACTGCTCCGTCATTGACGGCTATTTCATTTACTACTTCTTCTTCTTCCTCCCACGAGTAGGGTTCTGCGAGGTCATCGCATCCGCCCTGCTGATGGCGCTCGTCGAGCAGGAACATCATGTTGAGAACGGAGAATTCGTCAAAGGTTCCTGCCTTCTTCTGCAGACTAGGGGATACGTCGCCAGTGCACTTTTCATTCTTGAACACACAGTACTGCCCATAACTTCCATGTCTGCACAAATTTCCCTCGTTGAGAATTTCCTCTTCAGTAGCGCCTAACGCCTTGTGCATACCCTTGTAGATTACATGGTCCCAATGCATGTGCATAGCAAGCAAAGTGCTTTCGGGTAGGACATATTTCTTGTATTTTTTTTCGCTGAACTTAAATACTTTGCTCTTTGACCAGGGGCCTTTTTTTAAGGTAAAGAGGGGCTTCTTATACATGTCGCAGTCGTTCTGCTCGTTGCACTGCGTCTTTCTGTTCTTCATGGTGAACTTCTTACTGCGCTTCTTACTGCACTTCTTACTACTCTTCTTGCTTCTCTTCTTACTGCACTTCTTACTGCACACGGTACTGCACATGTCACTGCACATGTCATTGCACATGTCATTGCACATGTCACTGCACTGCTCGACGTACTTGTTGATACACTTCTTCACGTACTTGTTTCTGTTCCTCTTCTGCGGTCTTGGTGACCATGCTCCTACGAGGCGTTTGTTCTGGAGGTGGTTGATGTTGCCCTCCTCGTCCTGCATCTCCCACGCTCTTTCTATGGCATTGTAATTGATACGCTTCCCGAAGGTCATACCACGCGTTCGCATCTTGCACATATTTTCCTGCTTGTCTTCATCCTCCGACTTTACTTCCTTCTCCAACATAACTTCGTTCTCCAACTTGACTTCCTTATTCCATGTGACTTCCTTCTTACACTTGACTTGCACCTGCCCCTCATCATTATCGTTCTTAACATCTTCCTTAGAATCGCCCTCACCATGTGATGCATCCATGAACATGCTAGAGTTATGTCCTGACATCAGGTAGCAAGCCAGGTCCTTCTCATCCTCCACAGAGGCGCCTCTCCCGGGGGTGTTCTCATGCGACGTGTGTCCAACGGGGGTCCGGTCGTTGGAGTTGTTCTCATCGGAGAAGTTCTCGACGGAGGTGTTCCCATCGCAGCCGTTCTCAGCAGAGGTGTTATCAGCAGGGGGGGTAGCAGAGGGGCTGGCGTCAGCAGAGGTGTTTGCAACAGGACTGGAGCTCTTCACCTCTGTTCCAGCCGCAGTGTCCTCTTCAGAAAGGTCCCTTTGAGCTTCTTGCTCACTCTTCTGCACCTGTTGTCCGTCCCTTTTGTACTCCTTCCATATGTCTAGGTTTTCCATGTACTCATCTAACACGCGTAGTTCCTCCACATTCAGGTTCACATTAGGTACGTCTCCATTGGTGTTATCAACTTGGTGCTCGAAAACGCTTATGCCTCCAGCCGTATTTTTTGCTGCTGCTGATTGTGGCAGTGTCGCTTTGCTTTCTTTCAGCTCATGAGGGTATGCCTCCTGGGGAAGATCTACGACTTTGGCTTGTTCCCCTTTTTCGGTGGTCCTGGTGTTCTCCTTCATGTTTTCCACACTGCAGGCGCCCTTCGTCATACGGTTATGGCTTACTTTGCCTGTTTGGCGGCTTAATGTGCTTAATACACTTTCGCCTGTTTGGCGGCTTAATGTGCTTAACGTACTTAGTGCGCTGTCGCCTCGTTGGCCGCTTAACACGCTTAATGGGCTTTGTGCGCGGGGGGAGTTCCCTTTTTGTGCGATTTTCCCAACTCTGTTGAGTTTTCCCCTCTTAATGAGTCGATTGAGCTCCTTGACGTCAACGTCGAAGGTGTGCTGTTTCAACTTTTTTAAATTTTGAATTTCCTCACTTAGCAATTTTGAATGTAAATTGTTTGAATCGTGTTGAGAGATAATTTCCTCAATTCCTTTGGAAAAAAATCGTAAAAATTTTGAACTTGTATGTTTTTTACTTTTTAGGTTTAGAAAAGCATAACATGACCTTCTACATGTTTGGAGAAACATTTTTTTATTTTTTATTTTTTTATTTTGTAAAAAAAAAAATAAATTAAATAAATTAAATTCATTTAATTTAAATTTAAATTTATTTAATTTGAAATCAAAAATGATTTTCAAAAAAAAAAAAAAAAGGATTCCTTTTTTATTTTTGTGTGTACATCTTTTTTTTTTTTTTTTTAGAATCTGCCACCCGACGGGGCCAAAATTTGAAAAATAGCTGTTTCTTGGTTGATACAAAAATGGGTGTCGTGTACTTTTTTTTTCTTTTTTCACGGGGCGCTTGCTGAGAGATAACGAATAGCTCGTGTCTTTTCTTGTTTTATTCTCAAGGTGCATGTATGCATTCTCCTGGAAGCGGAGAATTGATCCCGGGGCGAATAGGAGAAGAAGAAGCCAGCAAGCCAAGGTGATGGTGGGTGGTGATGTTAATGTCGGGGCACAGGCTTGAGCACCCCGGGGAAAAAATCTAGGTCACAAAAAAGGCGTACACATGCATGTGCATTGACGGAAACGGGACCTGATTTCCCCTGCTTGCTCTCTCAATGCGCGCTCTCTCTTGCGGGGCTATTTCTTCGGGTGCTGCCTCGCACACCCTTGTCGCTTCTCCCGCTGCTTCCACCGCCGATCTTATCGCAGCTTCTACGTCGTTGATGATTCTCCGCGGGGCTGTGCAGATGGGGCCCTTTCGCACCAAGGCTGCAACTGCGTTTCCACCGCCGCTTCTCTACCTCGTTGCTGATCCTTCTCGCGGGGCTATCTCGTCGGGTGCCACCCCTGTCGCTTTCCAACTCCGCTTGCGCCCCGCATTGCGACGAACTCCACGCAGCTGATTCGCGACGCTGGCGGCACGTCAACTGCGCACAATTTTGTGTATTCGCTTTTACGCTCACATCATATGAACCCTTCTACGCACGACCCGTAGCACGAGGGGGGCAGTGACTAATGCGTGACGTGCTCGTGATGTGTAAAAATGCATAGGCATGCGTGTAGGTATGCATGCGGTGTTTTTTTTTATTTTTCTCTTTCCCCCTTTTTTGTTCCTTCACTCCGCCCCACTTGCGCTCCTTCCCACTTGGCTACTTCACCACATCGCCTTCCTTTCACGTTCGCACTTTCCCCCTGTGCGAGTGCAGTAAGGCCCGTCGCCCTATTATAGGTGATCAACATGGGGGGATAAATCATATGCCCCGCTCTTTTACGTCGTCGTGTAGAAGCGCAAGTATTTACCGGCCCATTTATGCATGTGCTTAAATTTCCCCCAATTTTCCCCACCCCCTTTATACAATTCCCTCTCATATGAAACGGGTAAAACTCGGGTGACCCTGTGCAATACATCTCCCACGTTGGTCGCTTCAAGGAGCGAAAAAAAAAAAAAAGTGAGATGAAGCGAATAGGTGTGCATATTTTTATGGGCCTTTTTGTGCTCTTTTTTTTTAGGGGCTCTTTTTTTGAGGGGCTCCTTCTGCGTGCCCCTTTGTAGGGACTACTCTTTGTGAGAACAGCCGTTACACCTGTGCTCAATCATCAGGCACACTATAGGTTGGGGACACATTCAAAGGGACCTCTTCGCCCACTCAGCAGCCTTTTATCACGTAGCTGCGCTGCTCGCGCTTTGTGTGTGTCGATCGAGGCCCTCCTTCCCAGATGAGCATCTACCTGAAGAGAGGCACTTCCCGCCGACACCTCTCCGAGGTCCCCTTAGATTTCTTCAAAAGAGAAAATAAAAATGGCCAAAGAGAAAAAAATGCCTCTCTCAGTGATGACCAGGAGCAGGGGGGCAGACCCAGCCCTATGAAAGGAAAAAAAAAAAAAAAGGCTCTTCCTTTTTTTATAAAATCAAATGGGGAAGTTATTCAAATGGGACAGGACAAAATGAGAGGACAAACATGTGCCCCTGCAAAGGGGATGACAGAAAGGGGAAAAACAGAATTTCGGGGGAAGGGACAAAAAAAGGCGGCCTCCTCCGCGAATGCTTGTCTGGAGGGGAAAATATTCACCATCGCCAGTTATGACTTTGTGGAGGTCATTCGAAAAGCGCGGCGAGTCAATCGTCAGGCGATATCGGAGGCGGTCTCCCAGGCCAAGTCTGAACCAGTGGGGGCACCTGCTCATGGCCACTGGAAACACACACTCCCCAGGAGCATCCCCGGGGAACGGGAAACGTGCTCGTTGCTGCGCCAAATCCAAGGGGAAAAAATGCCGACCGAAAACCCCATTGAAAAAGTAACGAAGGGGGAGCTCACCCTGTGCTGGAAGAAGCACAGGAAAATAAACATCGCCTTCGTGGAGAGGCACAACAGGAAAAATGGAACAACATCTTGCGAGAGGAAAGTGAAAAAAATATACCTGTCCCCAAAGGAAAGCACCTTTAGTCCCCTTATGAATAAATACGTTCTGTACGAGGACGTGGTGAAGTTAGAAAGGCACCTCACTCGTCACTTGGCTCACAAGAACATCGTAGTGATGGAAAGTTTCTTTTGCGTTGATAATGAATTAGTTAGTGTGTATCCCTTTGGGGGGGTGTCTCTGATGAGGTGGAATAAGCATGAGAAGCTCTTTCAGCTTCAGGGCATGGATGGGGGAAGTAACAGTCGTGGTAGATCCTCCTACCGACCAACAGGTGTAATGACCATGGATAGCCTGTCCGGCAAGCAAACATATGAAGCAGTATGCGGAATGACCAAAGCGAAAAAAAAAAAAAAAAAAAAAAAGTATACATATGTCTACCCAGAGTACCTCCTCGCAGAAATCATAAGGCAACTCCTGACCGTGTGCCACTACCTGGACGAGCAACAAATTTTCCACAGTGACATAAAACCCTCAAACATTCTTATAAAAAATGTGAAAAAAAAAAATATGAACAAAATATATTTTTGCACACGGGATAAAAAATGGTACTTACAAAAAAGAGGCACAACTTTAAAAAAAAAAATTTTGGTGAAACTTATTGATTTTGAGTATGCACAGAAAACATGCCAAGGGAAAGTCAACGTAGGTGGCACAACATCGTTATTTAAACCACTTGAAGATTTTAAAATGGGAAGAATTAATGCTTCGCCGAAGATTGTGTGGACCTTGGGCATCACACTTTTCATTTTGTCCACCGGTGCACACCCCTTCAGTCGAATTAACAACGACATGCATATTTGGTATGTGTTGCAGGACAAAGGGTTTGACGTGTGCAGGCGATTTCGTAGGTACCCCTTCATGTCCAGTTCGCTGAAGGACCTGCTCGCGCGCATGCTGCAGGTGGACTTTTCTCGCAGGGCGACCCTCCCCGAGTTGTTCCTCCACCCCTTCGTCCTCTTCGGCGAGGCGGTGAAGCGGTGAAGAGAGCGAAGCGGGGTTACATCCTGCGGGATATTTCCCGTAACCCTGCACATCATCCCAAGCAACGCCGGTTTAGGAGAAATCGCTCATGGAGACTTTTTTTTTTTTTTTTTTTTTTTTTTTTACCAACACACTCCGTGCATATAGCATCTTCATCATCATGGCGTGCACTTAGCGTGGGGGAAAAAAAAAAAAAAAAAAAAAACACAATTGTGCGACATACAGAGCTACGCGCTTTAACTAACGGATCAAAGAAAGGATCATAAGCCACACGATGACTCTCTCTCCCCCCTACGACACACGTATAAAAAAAAAAAAAAACAAATGTGGGGACTTTCCCTTTTATATAGCATTTTCTTGCCCATGCATGAAATAAGGGTAAAAAGGTCGAGCTTTTTTTTCTCTCTCTCTCTTTAACTTATTTCACTGATCCGTTTGCTTTATTTACAAATTCGCTTCGGGGAAGGGGTTATTATGACCACTCGCTTGAACAAGCGGAATGTGCTAACAACTAGCACAGATGCATTAAAAGGAAGCATATATATAAAAAGTAAGAGAAGTAGCTCTCCTTCCATGGCTGGCTCGCACAGCATCAGTGCAAATATATATATATATCCTTACAGAGTGCCCGTGCGCACGATGTAGAGAGGTGGAATAAAGCCCTTTGGTGAAAAAGAGTAACTCGTTCTGTTCGGTGAGAAGTGCATAGGTCTTGTAGCGCGACGGGAAGCGACGTCAACGTGCAGAAACCCTGCATCCACAAGAGTAGAGACTTCGTAAAAGGAAAGGAGCAAAGTGAAGGGAACCTACACCCGCCTCTCCACTCTCTATATCACCTGGAGTAGCAGTCGAGAGGAACCGCGTGTGTATCAGCTGCTATATTTAATCAGCCCGCCATGGTGCGAATACCGCCGCTGGTAGTGTGTGGTCCCTCTGGTGTGGGGAAGGGGACGCTGATCAAGAAAGTGTTGAACGAATTCCCTAACCGCTTCCGCTTCTCCATTAGCTGCACGACTAGGAACAAAAGAGAAAAGGAAACGAATGGGGTCGACTACTACTTTGTCGATAAGGACGTCTTCAAGCAAAAGTTAAAGGAAGGACAATTCCTTGAATATGATAATTATGCGAATAATTTTTACGGGACCTTAAAAAGCGAATACGACATGGCTGTGGGGGAGAACAAAATCTGCCTGTTCGAAATGAACATCAATGGAGTTAAACAGTTAAAAGAATCCCAGTACATAGAGGACGGCATTTATATTTTTGTAAAACCACCCAGCATTGAAATCCTTTTGAGCAGACTAAAGAACAGGAATACCGAAAACCCTGAAGAGATCAACAAGCGCATGCAGGAGTTGACGCGTGAAATGGACGAGGCCGACCGCGTGGGCTTTAACTACTTCATCGTCAATGATGATCTGGCACGCACGTATGCGGAGCTCAGGGAATACTTGCTCGGCTCTTACCCGCAACTGAAGGGGCCTTAATCCCGCGTAGCGGATTAGCGGCGTGGCCGATTCGCCGCGGTGTAGCATGGCATCACGTGATGCTAGGAAGGCTTTTTCCCCTTTATACAGGTGAAATTTTCACCAATTGGCAGAGACAAGGTGTAAAATGGACCCACCGAGGGTTGCAGCGGGGAGTGGTGTTACACAGGGTGAATGAGTGCAGCTCCACGCGCATCGAGTTGCTTCCATCTCGTTGTAATCAGTGTGAAGCATTTGCTATAAGGAAGGGACAACACCAGCATGGAATCAAGTCACAGGTTTGGGAGAAGCGGGTTATATTTTGAAGTTTTCCTTTCTCCTCCCCCCCACGCTTTTATTTTTGTGGCCATATATCTGTCGTACCGAAGTTTTTCACCCTTTTTATAAATCATATCATTTTTTTTCTGATGACACTTAATGCTTTTTTTTTTTTTTTTTTTTTTTTTTTAAATTTGAAAGCTTTACATGTTTATGCAAGTTTGTATGCATATCTCATTTCCGGGGGCACGCGGTGGCGTTCTGTTTTGTTTTCCTCTAAGCCCCGTTCGCCTGGTGCAGAGTTGCAACTCGTTCAGGCATTTTTGCCGCGGCCGTTCTGTAATCGCCTTTTTTTTAATGCCCTTTTTTAAATACCCTTTTTTAAATACCCTTTTTTAAACCCATTTTTAAAAACCCTTTTTTACGAAGACCATTTGGTCAGCCCACTTTTTTTCCAACTCAACTTTGTCAGCGCCGCCTCCCTCCTGGCGAAGTCTTCTGATCTTTTGAAAAGCGGACTGGTCATTTGGAAAGGCGTTCTACTGCAGGGGAGAGAACATATTTGGAGGGGCAACAAAAGCTGTTGTGATGTGACTCTACGGCGGAGGCTGGCTCAGGGGGGAAAGCCAAACAGGAGAGAGAGCATACGTTATACACCTGTGGCTTCTTATAGTATAGAAGGGAAATTTTGTCCCCCTTTTTTTTTTTTTTTTTTTTCACTTGACTATACCACTTACTATAATGCTCCCAAAATGGAAACTAAGAAGGAGAGAAGCTCCATAAAAATCTCACTCAACCTGGGCGGGAACAAGAGGGATGACAAAAGTGTAAGCGAATACAACTCTGGGGGGGATGGGGATTTCCGGATCAAGTCCAAGTCGAAGGAAGTTTCACAGGCCTTGTAAGTACACCCCCAAGGGGAGAGAGGGAAAGGCAAACAAAGGGGAGAAGAAAAATAACCACAGCCATTACGCATGGGCGGAGAGTGTAAAGTTCTGCCCCTTAAATATTGCAACGTGGTATATAGACTTGTAGCAGCCCTCCACTGCTGCACGCGTTCCGGAAATGTGGCCCAATTTTTATTTTCCATTGTTGTGCGTGCGTGAGTGAGTGAGTGAGTGAGTGAGAGAGAGAGAGAGAGAGATGGGCCCTACACATTTTGTCCGATGGAAGGATAAGGCCATGTTGTGGCCACCGTTGGAGGACAAAATGGGGAAACGAGCCGTATACGTATAGCTGTGTAGAGTTTGGGGACCTGCTCATGTGACTTTTTCTCTTTCTCATTTTTTTACATTTTTCTTTTTTTTTTTTTTTCCCCCTTTAACCTTCTTGCCCCCGTTCGAAGAGGCCTGATCGAGGACATCCGGAGTGGCACGTTCAATTACAAAGACCTGCAGGAAATTTACTTCATGAACGACGTGGACTTGGAAAAAATGATTAGTGAGACGAACGCGGAGGAAGGGAACAACGAGAGGGGGGAGGCCCATGTCGCGGGGCACAGTTCGTATAGGGAGGACAATATGTATAGTGGTGGCGACGTCCATGATGATAATATCCCCCGTTCAAAAGAGTTCACCCAAGGGAAGCTCTTGCACAGTGGAGGAGTGGACCCACATAACCACCCCATGCAGATCAGCGAGAGGAGCCTGACAAATGAAAATGATGAAGAGAACGGAGGAGCGAGTGGAAGAAATTTATTTGTATTAAATAACCAAGTGGGGAAAGTGTGCATCATCAGATTTCCCCCTGATGTATCCAAAGAAATAAAAAAATATCTTCTGAAGAAAAAACTTATGCTGGAAATTGAACCAACCAATTTGTTAAACTCAAGACTTTTCTTTATACATTTTAGAAACATTAATAAAAAATTTTGGGGGATTCTTCTGGAACTGTCAACCCACATAGAAGTACACAAGACGCTGGATCGAAATAACCTATACAAGACGAATGACGTTTCACAGATGATTTATGTGTATGACCCAAGTGAGAAAAGAAGAAAGAAAAAAAAAAAATGCAAAAAAATGATAAAAAATTTTATAAAAAATAATTTCCAATTAAATTCTGGTATCAGCAATAAAGTACAAAATTTTCATTTTGAAAATTATGCAAAACTGTTCAAGTACCATGATATTTATTTTGCAGAAAAGTTTCTTCATGATTATTTAAACGCCAAGTATTACGACTACTACGACATGTATGTGAAGACTTACACAGAGATGCACACACACGTGCGCATCAGTCAAGAGAGCCACAAAAAGCAAAATGAAATTGTTGATGAAATGACGGACATTTCAGAAATAATAAATTCGTTGGACAATACGTATAGCCTAATGAGGGAGCTGGAAAAAGAGACCGGGGGCGACATTTCCCTTGAGACCCTGCTCAATTATGAAATCACCAATGAGAACTACGAGTCGGACGTGTCGGACTTGTTGATGGGCGGCAGCCACTACTTGAGGAAGAGGGCCTAGGGGGGGATGAGCAGAAGTAAATGTCGCGTTTAGCATCGCGTTTAGAAGCGCAATTGGAAAAGGCGGTAGCACCCGCAGTAGAGGTTGCCAGTGTTGCTCCGCCCGCTACTCCAATGCTAGGAACTTGCCCCACTCCCAGTATGCTTCCACTTGGAGTGGCTGCACACCAATCACACGTAGTGCCTTTATACATGTGTATAAAATTAATTTGATGTCTTTTCTTTTTTTTTTTTTTGTGTTGTTTTTACAATTTTTTTACGAACCAAAGCGGATTAATTTTTTCACCACTAGGCTGTTTTAAGCGAACCAGTGGGGAGTACCTGCACAATGCAAAACTGCGTTGAGAAGCTCTCCCAGTCTGCTAACCCATTTGTCCACGTTCACTTACATCTTGAACGGACGGATACAATCCACCCTCGATTAGGACCCCCGTGTAAAGGGGAAGATCAAAAAAAAAAAAAAAAAAAAAGGAGAACATGGTTAAATATTCCTATAATGAATTAACACGCGTGCACATTTTGTTATGCCAGCGGAGGGGAGGCACGCAATAACGCACACACAAATACACAGTGCGATTGGTGGGACGGTGAAAGTTACGTTTTCCACGTCGAAAATCCTGTAATGTGTTTCGCCCTGTTGTAACTTTCTGCACACACATATATATATAATGGTAAGTTCTCTATGGCAAGTGTGCATGTGGAAGCAGAAAAGGAGGACGGCGGCGGCCTACATTTGGAACCCGCCCACTGGGTAATAATATGAAAACTGGTTCAGCAAGGTCCGTATGGACCATATGCGTTCGACTGTTCACTAGTGTGTTGGCGAATCTAACCCCATTTGTTATGCTCTGCTGTTCTGTTTACCCTTTTTTTTTTTTTCTCCCGTGGAGATAAACCTTTGCCCAGGTGCAGAATAAGTGCTAGCCAAAATGGAAGATTTTTTTTTTTTTTTTTTTTTTTTTTTTTTTTT